TCAACAGACAATTATTCAACAAAAACAAAATCTTCATAATTCTTCTTCAATTCAACAAATTAATCAATGGGAAACAAATTCAATTGAAAAAATTCAACAAACAGCACAACAATGTCGAGAAAAAGTGATGAAATTGACACAAAAATCGATCAATGATATTGAAAAAAAGTTTAGTGAATTATCTCAAAAATTAAAAGAAATTCGTCAAGAAAATGAATTTAACGAAATTGATTTGAATAACTGTCAATTGAAATTAACACAAATTACAAAAGAATTTCTTCCACCATCAGACATTTCTATTCGACAAGATTCACAAGAATTTATCAAGAAAATTACGGTTATCTCATCACTTCGTAAGTTTCTTCGTATTTTCACTCTTTTCTGATTTAAAAATAATGAAAAAGATTTTGAATAAAAAGAAAATCTTTTATTTTAGAACAAAATCAAACAGAAAAGAATACATTTCAACAATTTGGAATTACTGTTGCTGGAGGAAATGGACATGGACAGGAATTAAATCAACTCTCTTACCCTCGTGGGATGTTTATTGATAATGATAAATCAATTTATATTGCTGATTGTGGGAATGATCGTATTGTCAAATGGAAATTAAATTCAAATATTGGTCAAATCATTGCAGGTGAAAATGGAGTTGGAAATCGAAATAATCAATTGAGTTGGCCAACAAATATAATTTTTGATAAAGAAAATAATTCTTTTATTATTTCTGATTATAAAAACAATCGAGTAATTCAATATTTTGATCAAAATCAAACAAATCAACAAATTCTTATTTCATATATTAATTGTGTGGGTCTGACAATCGATAAAAATGGATTTATTTATACTTCTGATTCTCAGAATAATGAAGTAAGACGATGGAAACAAGGAGATAAAAAAGGTGAATTAGTTGCAGGTGGAAATGGTCAAGGAAATGGTCTTAATCAACTCAATTATCCTACTTATATTTTTATTGATGAAGATTATTCTCTTTATATATCAGATTATGAGAATAATCGTGTGATGAAATGGAGAAAAGATGCAAAAGAAGGAATTATTGTTGCGGGTGGAAATGGTGAAGGAAGAAGTCTCAAACAATTATCTCATCCTCGAGGAGTGATTGTTGATCATTTGGGCCAAATCTATGTGGCAGATTGTTCGAATCATCGAGTAATGCGTTGGTGTGAAGGAGATGCAGAAGGTGAAATTGTTGTTGGTGGGTATGGTCAAGGAAATCAATCAAATCAATTAAATTATCCCACAGGTTTATCATTTGATAATGAAGAAAATCTTTATGTTGCTGATTGTTCCAATGATCGAATTCAAAAATATGAAAAAATTTTAATTTGATAAAATTTTTATTTTTGTAAAATCTTTAACAAAAATAAATGAAAATGAATTAAAAAAATTTATTTTCAATTTTTAGAAAAAAAGGAAATAAACATTTCTTAATTTTAATTTTAAATTGAAAAAACTGAAACAAATAAAAAAACTTCTAAACAGAAATTTTATTAGGTTTATTTTTGTGATGTTATGATTTATTAAGAGGGTGTGGGTGTGGGTGAGGTGAGTGTCGATGTAGGTATCCATAGTGTCTGATTATCATATCGACACCCACACTCACACCGCACATCTACGTCCATACCCTCAAGTAACTTTCTAGTTCTAATTCTTCCTCATTCACGCTAGTTCAGAAATTGAACGTAATACCTTTCTCATCTTTGAACTAGCATCACTTTATTATATATTTTAGAAGAATACTAGTGATAGGAAATTGAAGAATAGTCCTTGATGTCTAAGCTACACATCCATAAAATAGACGAACTTCTTTAACATCTGTAGGGCTAAGCATGGTACGGCTGCCAATAGGAGCGTTGTCTTGTTTTGGAACTATTGTTGGTCTACCATTAACGCTGAAATAATTTTCACCATAGTGCATAATTGAGCCGTAATCGTAACTGGTTTTTAAATCAACTGCCGACGTTCCCCATGTTTGCTTGGCGAAGTCATTATGCTACAAAAAAGATACATACATGATCTGATCACATTATTGCACTCGGTCAAGGGATTGATGAGGTTGTTGTTCTCTCCAAACGCAATAATAATAGCTCAACTTGCTGACAGATTTTTTGGTGAGATGGTAAGACAGAGTACTTTAAGTAAAGTGTCTGATCAAAGATATACATCGATCCCAAGAAGGATTAATAGGAATTTCTAGTTCAACTAAAGATAAATCCACTTTGTTGACATAATACTATTGTGATATACAATTTTTATGAAAAACTACAGGGTCTCGAACATCTTTTGCTTTCCACATATTCATTTAATAAAAAAGCTTACCTTTTCCGGATCAATGTTGTCATAGTTGATATGAATGTAATTATCACGATCCGGGCGCTGGTGTTCGTGTCTGAAGCCTATTCAGAAAATACATTTGATACTTATCCTTGTTGTAGATGAATAAATCAACCGTATGAGGGGATACTTACCGATTACATGTAACAGTTCATGCTGAATAATACCACTATCGAAGCAATTAGCCGAGTCATCCTTCTGCAATGTCATTTTCAATGGATAATTAGGATAATAGCCAATCTATCAAATACCAACATGGATGAAAAATGATTTAATTCCTCATCAGAAATCACTACTCACGTGTGCGCTGCATCCCTGTCCATAAACGATAGTTAAGAAAGTAGAATCGTCGGCTTCCTTTGGTCGAAAATAAACGCAAACATGACGCGATGTCGAATTTGCGATAGGTGATCCTGTATTGTACATAAGATACTGCATGGCAGTCTCGATGATCTGGCGATCTTCCGCATCTAATCAAAAAATAACAAAGTCACACCGATAGCTAGTTGCTACAAAATAGAAATTAATAAGAAAATGACTCTCTTGTGTTATTATGACTATATTTTTATGTTAAATCGAATTGAAAGAACATTTCTCACTTGTAATGGCTGACATGTCGTATGGAATGATTCCTGAAGGCCATTTATTGACTTCAGCATACGCAACACCACGATTCATACTTTTAGATGGGAGGTTCGGGAATAACATATCACCACCATAGCCACCACCTATCAAACAAATCAAGAGAATGAAAAAGAAATAAATCATAGCGCGTATACCAAGTACTTCAGGACTGATTCGAGTGTGGTGGATAGATGATGCAAGAGCTTTTGGTGGTGGCACTATCTAAATTAATTCGTCGATAATTTTTAAAGAGAGATAAAGAACAAAAAGCGTACTGGAATTCCATGAACCATCAAGATCAAATACGATCCAAGAAGAATAACAGTATTTATCGTCATGTTTCTTCGAATTCAATCAAAAGACAATGTAATAATTGTTGTGGTGTGATATGAAGAACAATCGCTTTTTATAGTAAGCTTTCGACACGCAAACACCTACGTATTCATTTATCACTATTCAATAGTGGTTTTTTATTGGCATCAACGACCATCTGTTGATAGTATCACTATACTTGAATAGTGTCTAATCTTATCATTTAAATTTGAAGACCAAATGTCACTACTTGTTGTCATGAAAATAGGATTTAGCAATCAATACAAGAAGATATTCGTAGAAAAAGAATCGGATGAGGTCTAAGCAGTATTCGTTTGTAATTGATACTAATCGAATCTCACTAAAATGAGATATGATCTATTTGGAAGTAAAAAATATCTATCGTAATTGTGACTCATTCATTGTCATTCGTTTTTCGCCGAATTCATAATAATTGTTCTTGATAATAAAAAAACACATGTAAAACTACAACATTAGAATATATAGAGTACACTGTATGATGTCACATTCTACTTTTCAATTCTTCGTTTAGATGACTTGACAGAGCAATCGTCCTACTCAGCCCAGTTTCCGAGACTTAGTCAACGCTCAACGTGCCAATCCGAAGCGATATTGACCGAGTTCCATCAATTTCAGAATTGCAATATTTTTAGTAATGATATATCTCTTCCTGATCCGTACTACACCCAATTCCGAAACTACAGCTGTTAAAATTAACTTACAATCCCACAAATCACCGAATAACTTACATGCGAAATTAATACACCTGTTTTTCCTACAAACAGTTTAAAATTTTAACTTTTAATTTTGACATAAAAGTAATTATCTTGAGGGTGTGAATGTGGGTCATATGATAGAGAAGAGACATGGTTGAATAGCTCAGCTAGTAGAGCATCCGTTCGATACACGGTTGGTCCGAGGTTCGATTCCTCGTCCGGGCATTTCTTTTGCTCCATTGTTTTGCCACACTATCTCACTGGGGAGATGTCGCGTGTGAGATTATCCATCCCTCACATCCATCCACACCCACATCCATATCGACACCCACACCCTCAATGGCACTCTACCTGATTCTTTCTTTTGGAGAGTTTTTTGTTTATTCTGAGTGATCGAAAAAAGAAAAGAGAAAGTGAAAAAATTCATCAAT